CCCCCCACACGCCCTCGGGCCACCACCGCCCCGCCTCGCCTCCTTCCCTTCTCTGCCTCCCGCTCTCCCCCCACCGCGTCCACCGTTCACACCTCCCACCCTTCCTGCGTTCGCCTCTCCCTCCGCCCCCCTCCTCTGGCTCAATCTCCGCCTCCTTTCTCCTCCTCCCCGGCCTGTCTCGTCTTCTGCACCCTTCCATCCTGCACGCGTGCACGGCCGTCCGCCTTCACAGCCGTGTGCAGAATCCGCCGCCTCAGTGCAGCCTTGGTGGCTGACTCCGCCTCCCGTGGCCCGGTTCTCCGGGACACTGTTTTGCACACTGGGCACATAGTAGGCACTTAGCCGGCCCTCGCTAACTTCCTGGTAATCAGGAAGCCAGTCTAGTGAGGGGCATCTGGGCAAGCTTGGCTTTGGCGTGTGTGCGGGGTATGGCCTGCTCCTCTTCGCATTTCCACCTTTCTGCCATGAATCGTAGACTCCTGCAAGACCAGGACGACGTCCTCCCACCTCTCTAGCCACAGCCCCACTCCCCACTTCAGTGCCTAGGACGGAGGCTGCTTTTCCTTCTTTTCCCTGCTCTTCCCCCTCCTGCTCTGCTTTGGTACCTCCGACTACACAGCCCACCCCGCCACTCCCTCTCGCTCCCATCCTTCTCCTTTTTCTCCTGACCCGCCTTCAAAGGTAGCCTAGCAGGAGGAAAAGAAGCCTCCTCTGACCTCTTTCCCTCCTCCCTCCCTGAAAGGGAGCAGCTGCTTCCTAATCTACACGTGGAAAGGCCAGCCAGAACAATGTGAGTGTGGAGGAGTAGGTCTAAGCCCCAAAACTGGATAAGGGCAGCTGATTGAAACGGGATCCCCTCTTTCCTGATGCTTTCTACCCGTCGACTGTGTTTGCTTTTCTTGGGATAAGGGAACAGGAAAAGGACCTTCTCAGAATCTACCTCTTGTTGATTTAATATTTATTGAAGACTCACAATGAGTTAGAAGAATATTCAGAAAAAACCCAGTTAGGCATCTTGCCTAGGAAACACTTTCGGATGTTGGCTGCAAGCCAGGCTCAAAGCATAAAATACAATCTAGTATATTTTCAGGCCATACAGCCAGATAGCCTTGTCTAACTCCCAGCTGTGTACAGCATCTACCATAGGCCTGATGCTCTGCAAGTGCTAATTAATAAAGAACAACAAGCAAGAATTGATTCAGAGGCTTACTCCATTCTCCTTAGGTGTTTTGTTAAGGAACAAAAAGAACGAAGCTGTGGAGCTCCTGGCAATGGCTTGCAACACCCAGAGACTTCGAGTTCCTATCTTCAAGGAAGTAAGAATGAGAGTATAGCACTCAATAAATAGCTTAATGAATCACTCCAAATTCCATGCTGAACTTTAGTTGGGAATTTGACCTAGCGGGTCCTGTGTTTGCAAAATGACCTTCTTTAATGACTGTAGCCATGCCAGTTTCCTCACCTGAGTCACAAATTCCTCTTTTTCATAGGTAGAATAACAAAGTGTTTTAGGGTCTGGATTATAATCCCATTTATGCCCTTTACTTGTGCCACCTTGGGCAATTTACTCAACCTCTTTGTGCCTCAATTTCCTCATCTATTAATTGAAAAATACCATTATCTAATTCATAGGGTTATGCACCTTTAAATGGGTTGGACTTTGTATTATTATTATTATTATGTGGTATATGGTGCATAGAAAGTGCTCACTAAATGCTACCTGTTGTTACCCATCTCTGCATTTGCACATACACATGTGCTCAAATCCAGTTCCCTCCCCCATATCTGCATAAACAATCCTACCCATCCTATAAAGCCATGTAATATCTCACTCGTGCCAATTCCTACCCCCCAATCCCCTCCCAGCTCCCAGAGCTCTCTGCCTCCTCTGAACTTGTACAGCATGCATTGCCTGCACTACTCATTTTATTCTGAATCACATACTGCCTTCCATTGTTCTCATTGTGAGTTCTATCTCCCATGGCCAGCTCTCTGAGATCAGGGGTGGGTCTTAATCTTTCCTAAACCTCCCACAGCACCTGGCAGGGTGGCAAACACATAGTAGGCACGAAATAAACACTAGGAGATTGTTATTCCCCATAAATAAAAGGCAAGGGACATTTGAGCTGAAATGATGTGTCAGATTTTAGAAAATAAAAAAGCTTCAGACAAATGTTTGATCACTTCTTTGCTGGGACACAGGCCAGAGCCTTCTTGTATCCAAACAGTAACGAGAGCAAATGAACTTTGCTTTTTAAGGACAGCCTCGCAGCACACGGTGAAAAGGGAACCTAAATTCCAGGCTCAGTTCAGTGAGACCTTGAGGAAAATCATCTCCTTGTGCTTCAGTGTACTCAGAGGCAAAATGAGGCAATGGTCTCTAAGAAACCTGCTGGCTCTAACATGCTAGAATTCTTGAACTCAGCCTTCCTACCTTTTCATCCCAGTCATGTTTGAATCTTAAAGACAAAAGCTGATCTACCTGGCTTGATGATATGATCCACCTTTCTGCCTGTGGAGACAATGCCCTAAATTCTTTCAGCCAAAGTGCCTCCCCAGCTAGAAGCCCAGCTGACCTCCTGTGGAGTGTGAAGTGTCAGAAATTATTACTTCTGTTGTGCCACATACAAACTGAGGCTCAGAAAAGTGAAGTGACTTGCCTGAAATCACACAAGCAGAGTGAGGACTAGAACTTGATGTTTTAACTCCCAGTCGAGTGTTCTTCCAACAGTATGGGCCAGAGCAAGCTCTTTCTCTTTGACTTGGCCATGTAAACTTTCCTCCTCCTGCACTTTATTCTTTGAATCCACTTCTGCCCCTCCACCTAGAATGGAACCTGAAAGGCAAATGTGTGTATGATCTCCCACAAGCAAAAAACAATTCAAAATCCTGGTATTATATGATGTGTTATCAATGAAAATAAACTACTTGTGTATGGAGGAGAATGGAGAAGCCTTTGTCTTGCTCTCTCTGCTTACTTCTTCTCCCCCCACCCCACTCATTCAAAACCAGCATTCATTCCAGAAACTGTACTGAGCCCAGTAATGTGAACAGGAATGTGCTAGACCTGGGGGCAATCTCTGCCTTCAAAGAACTAAAAATTCAGCTAGGGAGACAACTCACAAACCAGGAAGGTTTGCAAATCAAGCAGATAAGAGCTGCTACCACAAGAGCAAATCTTGCCTGTATCAAGTGAGCTGCACAGGCAAGAAGAGCAAGAAGAATTCAGGGGTAGTTCAACAACAAGCAAAATCATGCCTGGGGAGAAAGGTCAGCATGGTAGATACCTTGACAGGAAGGGAGAGTATTCCTGGCGCACAGAGTCTTCATCAGAGTGATGGTACACATGTGTCCACATACGTAAACGTTCGTAGAGCTGCATACTTTAGAGCTGTGCACTTCACTGGATGTCAGTTATACCTCAATTTTTAAAAAAGTTTAGAAAAGAGTGAAAAAACTGGGAGCTAGAATTGCCAAGAACTTCAAGAAGGAAAAGGCAGCGTTTGATTGGGGGTTTAAATGAATCTAACCTAGTGGTTGTCAGCTCTGACTACGTTTTAGAGTTGTCTGGGCAGCTTTTTAAAAATACTGATTCTTGAGCCCCACCCCAGACCAACACAATCAGAAGCTCTGGAAGTAGACCCTTAGCATGGGTATTTTCTTAAACCAAGATTGAGAACTAGTACAGGTCTAGTCACTATAGCAAAAAAAGCTAAGGCTGATCAAACACCGTTAAGTGTCCAAGTGCTTTACTTACATTATCTCATTTAAGTCTCATGACATGCAGCCCTGAGAGATAGGTATGATTATTATGATCCCCATTTTATGGATGAGAAAATGGAGCCTCAAGTCATACTGCCTATAATTTCATCCCAGATCTGCTATCTCCAGAGCCAACCAGAAGCTATGTACAATATTGCCTCTCAGCAGATCATGTCACCAGGAGAGTACAGGCAGAGGCTTTTGGCAGGTGAGCTGGCTGTCCATGAA